GAAGAAATTGAAAGATTGCCGTGGGATATCAGTGGGACAAACTATAACAAATTTTGCACCGCGTTAAGCCATTGAAGCGATGTTCGGTATACATATTCAAGGCCGATCTAATGAGTTTCATTCAAACCTCGTCTTGGCAAAAACATTAGAAACAACGTTTCGCTTTGCCGAGGTCTAGAAAAGAAAGGATTAAAAAATAATGCCAAAACTACCCTTGCTTTTTCTAAAATTTAAGTCTAAGCATCCAGGATGTAAGCGACATAAGTAAAGTAAATGGAGATGATGGAGGGAGAGGGGAGATAAACGTGTTGCCTGCCGAAAGCCATGTCTGACTGCGCTATTGAAGTGCATCAGCAATATATGGTAGGGCTCAAAGTTTCACTTAGATTTATAGAAACTCTATGTTAGTGCGTATTTCCAAACTTTTGAAACAACACTGCAGATCAATGGGCTAGTCGCTTTTTCTGGTATGGCTTCCGGTTTTCCTTGTCATCTCAAGTATATCTGTTTGATTCGTTTCATTTTATCTTGATTCCTTCGCTGTAGTGTTGAGCTTGATTCAGTGTAGTAATTTTGTAGCAAAACCTTCGCGATGATGTATCGTTTTCTTTCTGGGAATGGTTCTTCTCAATTATGCAGCTCATCAAGCAGAAATTGCTCAAATTTTGGGATGAAGGTGATGCCATAGAATTGTAATGTTACTGAACTACTGAATATTCGTACGTGCTTTTTAGGATGGCTGGTAGGATTCATCTCTAAACAAGACGCATCACAATCTATGATGCTGTCCAGCCATCCCACGTTCCTTCTTCGCTTCAGCGATACCCAAACTGGAGCTGTGAGCATAGGATTTGTTTGTGAAGATGATGATGGCCAAAAAGGTACCTTAACGTTATTAATCATCTGTATGATTTGTCCTACTAATCGGAACTTTCAGTACCGTTTCACCTTGCACCCTTCTCGATCAAAGACCTTGATCAGCTCTCCCTAGCTCAACGTATAGCCAGCTGCCCTCAACTGAAGGAAATAAAGTATGGTGGTCATTTTTGTATAGTCTATACAGCTTTCTGAAGCTATACGTTCTATAAGTTTTGTTCAGTTTTTATTTCGAGAATTGATATGACCGGTGCAGACTAGTTCTTGGAGTACAAAAAGTAAGATTTGTTGTGTCATAGAAGTTTAGCTAGAACAAGTAACAGCTTACTGTGACATGGTCGTATATCGCTTCACTCGCGACTAGAGCTATAGCTGCAATAGTTGCGTTACGGACTAGCAACAATATGGGTTTTTGCTTCTTTTTCCTTTTTCACTTCTCTAAAGCAAATTTAGATATCATTTGTGCATCTTCTTTAGGCATTATAAGCACAATTAGTTTAACATCTTAGTTTGTTTCTTTGGTCGTAATGCAGTTGTTTGCAGGTATCTGTATCCTCACATGGATAAAGAGGAGATGTTGCGCTACTTTGACAGTGAAGAAAGAAATCGTGGAGGTCCAGACAGTCCCACTGGTTATATACAGTCTGAGATTGTAATGGTTGCGAAAACGAGCAAGTATGTTGTTTGCTGCAACCTCAAAAAGTTCGATGTGTACTAGTATGTTTACAGCAAAGCATCTTCTGCATCGGTGTTCAGTGGCGGTGATTCACCATCGCCACTTTCGGTACAGTCAAAACTCGATTGGTCACCCGGTGAGGTGATTCAGCCAATCCAATCAATGGACATGTAAGTTTGTTTACGGTAGAGCACATTAACTAATGCATATCATACAAGAAACTCAAGAATTAGAAGCATAAGTTACGAAGCAGCAAATAGCACAACGTTTGTTTTGCAGAAGATTGCGATCATCCTGCTTTTTTTGAATCACATACGGTAGCCAATACATTCTACTATCTAGTATTTTTTTGAATCGCATGGTAGCCAATACAATTTCTACTATCTAGTATGGCCCCAAATCCCAATGACTTTCAATCAAACTTTTCCAAGAGGTTCAATTC